TCTTTCAGGTCCAAGCACGACAACCGAGACGGAAACGGTTGCAAAGTATGAGATCATGGACGGCGCTCCAGTTAAAGGAGAATCAATCCCGATCAGACTCTTCCTGGCAGGTAGGTCCTGGCTTCTTCCAAAGCGTGTGATGATCTGCATCGAAAGCTTTGCTGCAACTAAAAATCACCGTCCTGGTGGTGTTAGCTTATCGCTGGCTCTGCTTTCGCCAGGATATGACTTGACGCCCACCATGAGGGACGTCAATAAGAAGTTCTCTGTTCGCTACTTTCTCAATCTGGTGCTGGTGGATGAGGAGGACAGGAGATACTTTAAACAGCAGGTAATTCACATGGACATATCATTTCTAATACTCAGAAACAAGCAAAGACCAAAGGCTGACTTTAAATATTTGGACATAAATTTAAGGTTTTTGGCCTAGCTACTGCTACAGAAGAAATGCCGTTTTCATACTTTATTTAATAGATTAATGGTTCAGATTTCAAACAGAACGAACGACACTCCTCAGTTTTACATCAGTTTTGGAGAAATTTCCTAATGTTTTACTTTTCGAACTGCGCCATTTTGCACAGGATATTGTGTTAATTCTGGTCTCAACACATTTTCAGTTTGTGACAATCATTTGCCTTTTATTTTTTTATCATGTGATGATTCAGTACGTCATAATTACTCAGAAAACACTGATTTCTGTGTAAAACAAGCACATTATAATTGGATACACAATAGTTCATGAGTTCATGTCAACAAACTGCAACATTAACATCATTGGAGATAAAGTTTGAGGAGATTTTATTTCAGCTGTTAAAGATCATTTATCATATTTTTTTTTTATATATATTTTTACTTCTTTTGAATTGTATTCAGGCTTGTTAGTTATAGTTATACTAATTTCCATGTCCAAAGTGGGAGAAATGTGTTTTCTTTTAATTAGCTTAAGGGAGCTGCGAACAAAGTTGATGTTGGGATCACTGAACTCCAGCATGAATGCATCACACAATGTCTGTTCAAGATAAAAGCAGGGATAGAAAATCCTCCTGCTTCAATTTGAGTTCATAAAGTGATGATTTATGTGGTTATTTAATCCAGTGATGAAGAGGAAGTCAGGAGAGCAACAGCTGGGAGGCATAACTAGCCAGAAACTTGTGGACGGATTTAAAAGTTCTCTTTTGTGAGACCAGGCTGACTTTTATTTACGTGACAAAAACTGTTGTAGCAATAAAATTCTGGTGGTAGATATTGTAACGATTACCAGCGTTCTCACATCAGCTCTCCCTTTCCTCTGACTTAATGTGTCACCTGGATATTTTATGTTAGAGGGCCATACAAGTCTCTCATCTCTCCACATAATCAATCTTTGCTTTACAGGTTAGGGTTTATCAACCTAACGTAGCTGTCAAAACGTTATAAGACATTTATACAGTTACATACTTTAAGTCTTTCTACAGATAGTTTTCTACATACAAAGCAGATGGAAAGGAAGTTAAATTAGCAGATGAGTCACATATTCTCAGATTTTTGTGCAGCTTGTCATTGTCTTCTGCTTCTCAGTTTTAAGTTTTGTTTTGTTAACTAAACTTTTAGGGTTTAATCTAAAAAAATGATCATCAGTTTGTCTCTAATTACAAAAATTATTCAATTGGAAATTTAAACAGTTTTGTCATAAGTGTTGTCTATGAACATGACTGCAGATTTTTTACTTAGTATGCAAATAAAAATCATGAAACTTTTACAACAAACATACAAATTCCTCAGAATCAATTGATTTTAGCTGTAAACCCAGCTAACCTTGAGATCTGTTGTTTCTTAGAGCGGCACTGCAGGTGCAGCAGCAGCTTGAACACTGTTTATAAGTGTTTCTTTTGACTTTTCAGCTGCAGTATTTTTGCTTTTTTCACTTTTTAAATTACATTTTTAAACCTGATTCTGTTTGGTGGAACTGTGCACCATTAACTCCGTCCTCCACTTTTGTGTGTAGGAGATTGTTTTGTGGCGAAAAGCTCCAGAGAAGCTGAGGAAAAGAAACTTCCACCAGCGCTACGAGTCGCCCGAGCCCAGAAGCCAGCCGGTTTCCGCAGAGCAGCCGGAGATGTGAAGGTCACCCGAGAAAAACTGAAAACTCACGCAAACGCATCACAGCTCCTTCCTGCAGAACAGCCAGAGGTGTGAGGGCTGACGCTGCTCTCTCCATGGACTGAGAAATGTCTGTCAACACAAACACACATTAGTAATCCTCAGACTTCCCTTTCCCCCCCACAAACCCTGCTCACCACTTCACAGCTTGGGATGTGAGCTGCCACCATCGCACTCTCAACTAGAGCTGAAAAACACACAATCAGATGCACACAAATGCAACAACACAAGTCTGCTGTCGAATGTTAAAGCTAACGTGAAGAGCAGCCCTATTAGAAAAGACGGCCGAGTTAATTCTGGCTCCTCTGGACTATAAATACACCAAGCAAGCACACATACATGAAGCCATACAGTCTCAGTCTGCTGAATGCAAAAAGAAAGAGGAGGAGAAGCTGGCTGCAGGCCACTGCAGCACTTCTTCTGAATCAAGAGCTTCTGGACTTTCTCTCACACGTTTCTGCACACTTTACATAAAAGTAACGCTTCGTAGAGTCTGCATGAGCTGCTCGGAGAACGAAAGGCTTCAAAGACCGGAGGAGGCGACAGTTACGCTCCGTATTTATGTACGCTACCTGACTGTGAGCTGCCGTTCACTGAGCTGGAGAGTCAATGATGTCATAGTGGAGCGGGTTCATCACTACAAAGATGTTACAGCGGTTTACAGAAGTTCTGCTTTAATTGGGGAGTCGAGTGCAATAAGTGTCCACGACGACATAAAACCCACACTATAGTTCTCACTTACAGAAAAGCATAACTCCACCTCAATGTGACTGTGGTTGCCATTCAGAGCTTGATTTCTTTTTAACATGAATTAGCTTAAGCTGATTTATTTAGGTCAAACAATCTGCAGGTTTTTTGCTTGACTGTCACAAAGCACTACAGATATCGAAGAGAAAGCATTTTACTCTTGCCAAGATCGATTCATATGTCGCTAAAGTGTCTGTCAGGCTACAGCAGGAACTTGTGTAAATGAATTTAAAGGTCATGACATGTCAACGTCTTCGCACAACGTCGTCTTCGATCCTTCTCAGTTCTGTTTTTGACTGAAATACTGTATATTTGCTACGGTGGGACTGGTTTGCTCATATTGTTAAAAATGAAAAAGCATTTCAGGCTGTGTTTGGTGGATGATAAGGTTTTAATTTCGTTGCTGAAATTCTGTCAATTCCTATTTAATTAGAATGAAGGCATTCAGTGATCACAATGTGACATTTGTCCTTTGCATTCACATTTTTTCTGTCAGCTGACCAGTCCCTCAGTGTGAAACATTTTCCTTCTCATTTCAACAGCTCACAGGTCGAAGTTGAAGTAGTGCATCCTTCCACTTTTACCTGGAAAACACGACTCTGTTGTTGCTGCATAGCTGCTAGCCAGAAGGATCAGCCTGTATATTTACTGATCTTGTTAGTCTTCAGGGGTTAAAGCTTTTTGAGCCCGCTGGTTCGATATATCCAGAATAATATCGTAATAAACGGTTTATGGCTTCTGTTGTAACCGCAGGAAGGGATGTGCTTTCCACACACTGTAAATGCAACAATGTTCCACTGTGATGCTCAGACCTGTGGTTTAGGTCTTGCTTTAATGACACTGTAACCAGTCCCATGTGATTTCTGCCTCCAGCTCTGATCTGTGGACAGTTTGCACTTTGCTCTTCAGTGCTGTACTTTGTGTTGAAGGGGCATGTTTCATGAAAGTTATCATCACTCAAGGAACAACTTCACCTCAGATTTTCTGAGTCTGTTTTTCTTTTTCACTACACATTTTAAGTCGGCTTTATATGTTTATTTATTTTTTGCTTCTTATGTTTGGTGTTGCATTCTTTTTCAATTAGATTGAACAGACAACTCTACAGTTCAGGTTTTCACTGTCCTTATATTCTAGTTTTGATCATGTAATCTGCATCTATCTTGTGTGGAAACGGTGTAATTTATTGAAAAAAATTATTTTTTTCTTTTTGATCAGAATTTGTTGGGTTTTCTTTACGGTCAAAAACACTTCAAAGCCAACAGTCTCTGCCTCGGTTTTCTGCATGTCTGTCTACTCATGTCATTGCGTGGCTGTGTGTATGGGATAATGTGTGTGTATATATTCTATACACCAAACTCAAATATATAAAGCTAAAATCATGAATAAAGCAGATTTATACTGAACTTAGTTTGAAAAACTTTGTTTTTGTCTTTTTGTTTTTTGTTTTTTTTTGTTTTTGCAGTCTAAAAATTTGGAAATGATTCAACTAATTTTAATACAAAAACTTTTTTCTGTATATGGCCCGTTTCTTTTTTGATGTCAAGAAGCCAGTCATAATTTGAAACTGCCTGAAATTATAATTTTACAACCTTTTGAAGGTATTTTTTCTTCCGTAAGACTAAAAAGATGCATGAACGTTTTGAAAAAAAAAAAAAAAAAAGGTACATAACTCATGTAGAATTTAAGAAATTCGTTATCCTTTAGTTGATCAATCGCCATTTTTCAGGTTCAAGAAACTGAAACAAATTACTTCTAGAGCCAAAAGTACCACAATTCAAATTTATGTTATTAGATAATTTTTATCTTAACACTTAAGCTATATATATATATATATATATATATATATATATATATATATATATATAATTTTTTATGTGTGAATAACTGCATTTAAACTAAAACAATTTTCCAATTCAACAAAAAAAAATTGTCCCAAAGGGAAAATAAATGTAACTCATAAATATCTATCGAGACCAGCTTCTTAGCTTGATAAGCGATCTTCGAGATCAGCGTCAAGGGTGTCTTTATATATGCCTCATTTGTGTATTTGTAAAATGCCTACTAACTGGCGTATTTTTAAATAAAATATAATTACGTAATATTAGAATATTACGTTAAAATAGACTTCTAAAATATTGTTTTCGAAAATATGAAATAAATAAATTTCGTTCAAAATTTTTATACAGGCATATCTGTCGGCAGAGCGGTCCTGTACCACGCTGGTAATACCAGAAATATGTTGACCGTCCTCTACTGTGGTTTGTTGTGTGAGCTAAATATTTCGCGCAGTTTAACAGTATGGAGCGGTAATAACTTCTAGAAAGGTCCAGAGAACCTACCGGGGCTAGGTTACATATCCGCCCGCAGTAATGTCAGCGAATCGCACCGTGTACTTTGTGTTTTCTCGGCTTCAACGCCACTTCAACACCCGGACTGCTCACACCACCGCAGGCGGCTGCAGGGTGATTTCTGGTTCTAGGTTGTTGCTCCAGCATCCTCTGCCTGGTTCCGCGGTTTGCTGCAGAAATGTTTCCTCTAAAAGCGTCCCCCCCAAGGCTCCGGACACCTCGTTGTTTGTCCCCGTCTCGCTGAAGACAGACGACCCGGCTGATGGGACCGTGGGAGCAGAACTGACGCAACCGCTGGACAAAAGTGATCCACAGTTTCTTCTTTGTTTTGGAGGGATATTCTGAGCGAATGTTGATTGACAACGGAGATAACTTTATTTAACTGGTATTAACATCTGCTCTTATTCCTGCGATTTTCAGATGAGCTGCTGAAAGTCTTGAACAAGTTTTACAAAAGAAAAGAGATGCAGAAGTTGGCAGCAGACCACGGCCTGGATGGTGAGAATACAAACTCTGACTGATGTGATCCTCTAAGGATTTACATGCAGGTCTTTGAAAAAACGTTCAACCATTTAACCTGGAATTTTTCATAACCTAATCCTGCTTTAAGCCTCTCCATAACTTTCTCACTGACCCGTCTGCTGTGTTCCTGATCTTCATGGTGTTTGTTTACTAATGTTCTCAACAAAGCTATGAGGTCCTCACTAAGTAGCTGCATGTATATTTAGATTAATTAACACACAAGTGGACTCTATTTACCAATTAGGTGGCTTCTAAAGACAAATGGTTGAACTGGAGTTTATTTAAGGGTCACAGTTACGCCATACTTTAGATTTAACTCCTGTATAAAATTCCACAATGAATTATATGTTTATATTGTGTCAAAGTAAGATGTATTCATTAATCCCCATGTAAGAAGTTAAGTGTTTCAGCTGCACAAAGAGTAATAAAGTATCAATAAATATGAACATTTTCTGGATGTGTGAATATCTTTGCACTGCACTTCGTGCTGATATTCATGCAACTTCATTCACCTTTTGTGATTAAGTAATTTTTCTCCAAACAAACAGCTCGTCTGTTCCACCAAGCCTTCGTCAGCTTCAGGAAGTACGTTCTGGAGATGACGTCCCTCCCTGCCGATCTGCACATCATCCTCAGTGACATCTGCTGCAACGCAGGTGCGCCACTTCAGGTTTCTACTGATTCATTAGAATAAGGTTCACATTTATTACACAGTGTCTTCTTTTTCTCCCCAGGTCATATCGATGACATCTACCCGTACTTCATGCGTCATGCTAAACAAATCTTCCCCATGCTGGACTGCATGGATGACCTGAGAAAGATATCCGACCTCAGAGTCCCACCAAACTGGTAAACATTTCACTTATCGTTCCACATAAATCAGTGGTTAAATAATAATCAGCTAAACATCGGCCTAAACAAATCATAGAGCAGGGGTCTGCAACCTGTGGCTCTTCTTCCACAATGTCTCTAAATGGCTATGATGCAAATTTTAGCTGCTTTTTAGTTTTTCATGGAATAATCACATTTAATTTTTCCCACAGAATGGCACGTAAAGTATTTTTTCTAGTCGGCTATTTGTTTTTTACACACATTTCCACAAATATCAACATCTGACAGAAGGAAATGTATTTGTTGTGTTTTTGCAATTTTTTTATTTCCATTATCTTAAAACTGAAAAATAGAAACAATCTGCTGCTTTTTTTAAATGACCACAGATTTCTTACAATAGATAGTTATTGAAACATGTTGATTTTTAAAAGGTAATGTAACAACTGCGCCTCTAAGCAGGTTTTATTTTGCTGGACTTAGAGTCAAAAATGACTCTTTGGATTTCAAAAGTTGCACACCCCTGATCTAGACCTAAATCCAAGTGAGGATTTTTGTCAAGGCCTGAAAATTTCAAATCCTCAGATCTTCTTCATCCAGGCTAACTTAGTTTGAGGTATTTTCTAAAGAATATATCTGTCAGTCTATAGATGTGAAAAACTTGTGGAAATATATTCCACAGACTTGCAGCTGTAAGCTGTAAAAGACTGTTCTGAAAAAAAGGGTGGCTGAATGAAAATGCATGCAACAAATGCAGCACATTTTGGAAACCATGTATTATTTTCTTTCCACTTCAAAATGATGCACTGCATTAGATCCCTGTAAAAGTTACACTAGTTAAAGAGCTGAATGTTTTGTGTTTACACCCACCAGGTACCCTGAGGCCCGAGCCATCCAGAGGAAGGTGATCTTTCACTCTGGACCCACTAACAGCGGGAAAACCTACCATGCCATCCAGCGCTACCTGGCGGCTAAGTCTGGGGTCTACTGCGGTCCCCTGAAACTTCTCGCCCACGAAATCTTTGAGAAGAGCAACGCCGCTGTGCGTCCATTTTTAATTTTCCCATCGCAGTTGAAGAACCGTTGTTACGAAAAAATTACGTAGCAGAAGAATGATTCAACACATCTTAGCTGCCTAGATCAAGCAGTAATGTTTTGCATGTTACCTAGCAACCCCAGCCGAGCCCAACCCTGTTACCTAGCAACCCAGTTTCTAGGTTTTGCCTGCTGACTTGTTTTATTCGATCTTAACTTGTTGAAGGAAGCTTCACAAGTCGCCTTAACTAAAGTGTCTCCAAAGAATATTTCAGCTTCCTTTATATGCGTTTACATATTGTCATGGTGTCGTTTGATATTAACGGCTGTTCGTGTTGGGTCGTGTGTCTGTGCTGCAGGGTGTACCGTGTGACCTGGTTACCGGGGAGGAGCGGACCTTCGTAGACCCAGAGGGCCGAGCAGCCGGACACGTGGCATGCACCATTGAGATGTGCAGCGTCAACACACCCTGTAAGTTGGTGTTGAAGGAGAATGTGATGATTTATTGTTTGATTATTATTACTGTTAAACTGTTAAGATTTTTGTTCTCCATTTATTTTCTATGACTGGGGGGAAAAAGTTTGTCTAATTTCTATCTTTTAACCTTAAACAAGTAAGGAAAAATTATAAAATGAAAGTAATTTATACATTTTTTTAAATTAAATTATTAATATTGAGTTTATAGTATCTGGTTTCCCTTGTAATTATATCTGTAAACATTGTTTCTAACTATGGATTAACCTTTAAATAATGTCTTATTTTCTGTCTGCAGATGAGGTGGCTGTAATCGATGAAATCCAGATGATCAGAGATCCCTCCAGAGGCTGGGCGTGGACCAGAGCTCTACTCGGTTTGTAACATTTAAACAGAAGCTAAACATTTCTACTCTCTCTCTCATGCTGTGATGTGTCTCTGGTAATCCTCTGTTATTTAAGTTCCCTTTGGGATGAGTAAAGTATTTTGATTTTGTCTTGGTGTAGGTTTGTGTGCCGAGGAGATCCACGTGTGTGGAGAAGCAGCAGCTGTGGACTTCATCCAGGAGCTGATGTACACCACCGGAGAGGAGGTGGAGGTGAGACTGAAAGGGAAACTTCCTGACAATAAACCAATAACAATATATAGACACGTAATCAATATCAATTTGGTAGAATATTCAATATGTAGAATGTCCAATCAACTGCTGAACCTCTCAAGGCCAGCTAAGAAAATAATATATACAAAAAGGTACACATTGTTTTATTTCACCAATTTACGTATATATTTATTTCACTTTTGTTTTTTAGTTTATTCATTTTACTTTGAAACTTGCAGCACCAACCTTGTCAATGTCTGTGGTTATTCTTTATTTTTATCATAGTATTGTAATATTTGTCATTGTGTTAAAGATCCTCTATATTATTTGTTTGAAATAAAGCAAAAAAAAAAGGTTGGTGGAATCAACTCACTCACTCTGGTTACCTAGCAACAACCTGCTGGGTAAAAAGAACTTTCAAGCCCGCCCCCCTCCCTGGTTACCTAGCAACAGCTTGAGTAACTGCTGCAGAAGCAGTTTAAGTTCAGCCACTGCGCCTCATGACTGCGTAAAAATAAAAAAAACGACAGTGTGGAGTGAAAACAAGAAAGGTCGCAGCACTAGTTTGACACTATGTCAGATATTTAAAACAAAAAAAAAGTGAATCATTAATTATCGACATTGCCAATAAACTGATATGAAACACCTGTATTGTGATACCGCTGGTTTTAACCCGTCGGTGTCGGTCGGTTTCACCGCCTGACCCTTCTTCCCGTCTCACCGCAGGTCCACACCTACAAACGCCTGACTCCGTTCTCGGTCCTGGATCACGCTGTGGAGACGTTGGACAACCTGAGACCAGGAGACTGCATCGTGTGCTTCAGTAAAAACGACATCTACTCTTTAAACCGACAGATCGAGGCCAGAGGGCAAGAATGTGCCGTAATTTATGGTAGTTTACCTCCAGGTGAGTGTGTTAGTGAGGTATATATAAGCTGGTCAATAAACCGAATATCTAACTGAATATTTGATTTGTTCACATGTTGGTGTTTTAAATGTTTAAAAAGTGATGTGTCGGACGAAGGTATTTGTCCGTGGATATAAGATAAATTACCAAATAACATTCATTTTTGGCACTCTATTTGTTGGTCATTTTTCTCCTTTTTTTCTTTCTAGCATGTAGAAAACAAAAATATGACAGATAACCAGTGTTGTTTTAGATTGTAAGCCATTAAACATTACAGGAAGCTTTGTGTGATTTCAACTTATAAAATACTTCATCTAAGATGTATTAAAAATACATAAACATGCATTAATTTATGTTGAATGCTGGCATCTTTATTGAAGAATTGAATGTGAAAATAAGGTGTATTTCAGATCGTATTGAGCTAATTAATCCTTTAAAAACCTTGTGAATACTTTATATTACTACATGCTACATTTGTCTGAACTTTCCTGTGAACTGCAGGCACTAAACTGTCGCAGGCCAAGAAGTTCAATGACCCTGACGACCCCTGTAAGATCCTGGTTGCTACGGATGCTATCGGCATGGGCCTCAACCTGTAAGTGAGGGGCAGTTTTGAACCATTAAGGTATTTTTTATTTTTTATGCAAACAGAAAATTGCTTGCAGGAAACCAAAGGGAATCTCAGTTATACCACCTGAGGTGTTTCTGATCTATTTAAATACAGTTGATTTGTATTTATGTGCAATTTAAACACACATTTAGACGAAATCAACAGCTTGAGTCAAAGTAAGGAAAACAAATCACCTTACGTCTTTTTGTTTTGTCTGCTTATCCTCTTTCGATGCTGTCAGGAGTATAAAACGTATCATCTTCAACTCCCTGGTGAAGCCCAACATTAATGAGAAAGGAGAGAAGCAGATGGAGACCATCAGCACATCGCAGGCGCTGCAGATTGCAGGTCGAGCAGGGAGGTCCGTTTCGCTTCCGTTTCCTCATTTTGGACATCTGGAAAATGGCTCTCCTCTTCGTCGGGATGAACTTACTGTCCTCTCTGTTGCAGATTTTCCTCCGTTTTTAAAGAGGGAGAGGTCACGACCATGCACCGAGACGACCTGCCTGTGCTGAAGGAAATCCTGAGCCATTCTGTTGATCCTGTAGAGGTGGTTATTTCACACACACTCACTGGTCTCACCAGCAGTAGAGTCAGAGTGCATCGCACCGTGAGTCCATGCTTTAAACCTTGTTTTTCTCAGACTGCAGGTCTCCATCCCACTGCAGAGCAGATAGAAATGTTTGCCTATCAGCTCCCCGACGCTACGCTCTCCAACCTTGTAGTGAGTAAAGCAATGAACCCAATCCTGCTCTCACTTTTACATTTTGATATTTGAGAGGTTTAACTAATCACAGAAGCATTATAATATTTTATTGGCTGCAGTTTCTCTTGGTTTTCTCTAAATAGATGCAATTCTACCTGGTCTAATACTAAAATAATTCACATTTATTTTCCTTTTTCTGTAAAATGCATCAAACTATAAACTCCAAACAAACAAGTAAAACAACCTGGTCTGTAATTCTCTTTTTTTAGTTTAATAAAAATCAGATAAATGTTATTTTAACCCAAAAAAAGAGTTTTGTTTTTTTTTTGCTGCATTGTTTCCAAAAGTTTTTAGACTTAATAAATCGATCTTAAGAAGCGTGATCCATTTGTCTCTGCTAAAAGCCAATAAAACATTTAAGTGAGACGTCTTACTTGAAGGGTTAACCGGATCCATCAGAACCAGACGCAGGTTTTACAGGAGCTGGAAGTTTTAACTTTCAAACTATAAAACAAAAACAGCTCAGGTTAAAATAACAGGAGCCACAAATCCAACATTTTTACTGCTTCTCAGAATATAAAATCACCTATAATTTAAGCAATAAAATATGAAGTTCAGAAGCTAAAATATATATAATTTCCCCATTGGCGGCAATTTCTACTTTGTGCCACTAGGTGTCAGTATATTGCCAACAGCAGCTGCTTTCAAATGTAGATAAGAAGCTTGAAGTTTTATTTTTTTGACCTGATCTGGTTAAAAACAAAACTAAACAAGTTTATCAAGTTCTGCAGCACTGGAAATAAACTTTTCAAATAACAAATCTTTCTTCATTAAAAGCAAAATAATTGGGATTTAGCAAAATGTTTGTTCCAAATCTGATCATGTAAAATTGTTCAACCTGGTTAAAAAAAACTGTTATAAGTTCTGATCAACGCTAAGGAAATAGTTCCTCGATTTGTTCTGTGTCCTTGTTTTTCAGGACATATTCGTCAGCCTCTCTCAGGTGGACGGTCTGTATTTCGTCTGCAACATCGACGACTTCAAGTTTCTGGCTGACATGATTCAACATATTCCACTCAACCTGAGGTCGCGCTACGTCTTCTGTACAGCGCCCATTAATAAAAAGCAGCCTTTTGTCTGCACCTCCTTCCTAAAGGTAAGAGGAAAAGCTGCACTCAGGAGGAATGGATCAGATTCATGACGGTTTATTGAGGAATATTAAACTGGAGGTTGTAAAATAAGTGTTTTTATAGTCGTAGTGCTGAAGGTTTATGGCCATATCGTCCCGACAAATCTCCAAAATAAAAGTCTTGATTCAACCTTTGGGATTTAAAGCACTGTTGCTGCTGTGTTGCTACCAATCAGAGCAGAATAACTTAATAACTTCCTGTTGAAAAGAACAAGCTGCATCTTTGATGACCTCCTCTGCCTGCACAGCTTTGCGTTTCTCATTCAAACCTTGTTTGCGTTGCAGTTTGCGCGACAGTTCAGTCGAGACGAGCCTCTGACATTTAACTGGGTCTGCCGCCACATCGGCTGGCCCCTGGCTGCACCCAGAAACATCAAGGACCTGGTCCACCTGGAAGCCGTGCATGACGTTCTGGATCTGTACCTCTGGTTAAGGTGATCCGCCTTCTTCGCACGGGATTTAGTGTCTGAACGCTCACAGATCTAATCCTTCCTCCGGTTTTCCGTAGCTACCGTTTCATGGATATGTTTCCGGACACGGCCGCCGTCCGAGGAATCCAGCAGGAACTCGACAACATCATCCAGCAGGGCGTCCGAAACATCACCCGTCTGATCCGAGCCAGTGACCCGAACCTCAGCGACCCGCTGCAGCCGCAGGGCCAGCCGCCGGAGCAAAACGCTGCAGCTGCTGCCGGCAGCAGAAGCAGGAGCCGAGGTCAGAGGGGCTCGGCAGAGACAACGGAGAAATCTCTGGCGAGCCGCCTGGTGAAAGATGGACTGCTGACTCCGGATCTGCTCAAACAGCTGCAGAGGGAGTGGTCCAAGAGCCTGAGGCAGGAAGGCGAGGGTCAAAGTTTATTCAGTGCAGAGCTTAATAACAAGAGCATCAAAGGAAAAAGAAAGAACAAGAAATAAAAGACTCAGAACTGTTAAAAGTTAGCGGATGCTAATCATGAATTACTGCTAATGGAGATGAAAATATGGCAGTTCCAAAATACCTGAGAAACCAGACTTCATTCCCAGGTTCATTTGTTCTTTATTCCCTTCTTNCTTTNCTTACTTTCTGTATATCCTTGTGTCCTACTTTTCATTCATTTCCGTCTTTCCTTCCATGTCTTTGTTTCTTTGCATCATTTGGACCTATACTGCAAAAACATGAAATCTAACCAAGTATTTTTGTCTAGTTTCTAGAGCAAATATCTCAGTACACTTGAAATAAGATAAAACTAACTTACAAGTGACTTTTCAGCAAGAAATAGAGGCTTGTTTTAAGTAAATAATTCCTTAATATTGACGAAAAAGTTTTAGTTTCATTGGCAGATTGACTTATAACAAGAAATTTTTCCTTGTTATAAGTTATCTGCCAACAAATGAGTACTTATTGTTATCAAGCCTCTATTTCTTGCTGAAAAGTCACTTTTAAGTTAGTCTTATTTTAAGTATGCTCAGACATTAGCTCTAGAAACTATACAAAAATACTTGGTTAGATTTTGTTTTTGAAGCGCAAGTAGAACTGGGAACTCTGGGAAGTTGAGTCTGGGAAACGCTGGAATTTATCCATTAACGATATTTGGAAACTCTGAAACAGGACCGACTGGATGGACGCAACAGCAGGTTTTACTTCTGGACATTTGGACCGGGTCGAGAGTCGGGGATGTTAATGGGCTCTTGAATATTTCCACACTATTTATTCACTTAATATTCGTTACAAATGGCTGAACTCAAATAACTCCTGTTAACTCCCAGCTGCTGAGTTAGTTTTGCAACTTGAATAACCTGAAATCACAGAAAACAACTTTCCTGTGTAACTAATGAAGGATTCGGTTGAAAAGCAAGAAATCAGTGGCGTACAAGTTGTTTTATATTCCCTTTGATATGTGGGTTTCTCCCTGTTCGGTTTATTCATCACTGCAGATTGGTTTGAGCTAAAATAATGACTTTGTTTCATTGTAAAGGTGAAATTCTGTATTTTTCATGTCTGTACATATAAGCAGATATTTGCAAATAAAAATATTTTTAAAATATTTGCATTTTTCTAGGATCTCAATATGAATCAATCATTCCATGTTATTTCACTCAATTGTTTTATATTTTTTATGATGTTCTTAGAAAAAGGAGATAAATCGCTCTTTAAATTTGAATAAAGTTGCATCTAACGGGTGAAAACAATGCACTAATAAACTTTACTCCATTATGACTCGGTGAAGGAGGGATGGACCACGTGTGATGACGATGATGACGACGGGAGGATTGGCTTGTTAATCATTGAGTTGGTGAAGGTTGATCACGACTCAGAATGTGTAGAGATAACGTTGAACAGATTTCTGTATTTTAGTCATTTCAGTTTCTCTCTCTGCGCACAGACTCGCAGACGAACCCTCAGTTTCTGTGCTTCCCGTTTGGACCGTGAAGATGTTGGCTGTTCATCTCGTCGCATTCTTCTTCTCCAAACTTCAGGAGGATCCGACTAAGAAGGTGGGAGTTTCTTCAACGAGGCTCGGAAGAGTTGTTGCATTTTGTTTGTTTACAGCTTAAAGACGTAGAGGAGCTGTGTAATGACTGCATTTATTTAACTCTTTAATTCAAGTTAACGTTCTTCCTTCTGATGCTTTTCTGTCTGTTGGTTTTCAGAATTTGACTGAAAAGAAATGACAAAAAAATATTCCTAAAATTACAAATATTTGTATTAAAACAACTTTACATGCCACCAAACTAAAATTAATAAACTTGGCATATAAAGTTGCACTGTAACAAGGTAATATGGTGCTACAATCATTAGTTACTGTGTCACCATTGGTCCTTAATGATTAACATCTCTCTCACTCTCTATCTCTATTTTTCACACACACACACACACACACACACACACACACACACACACTGCTGCTCCACTCAGTCATTTAACCTTACAGGGACAAAGTACCGACACTCCCAGCGAACATGGACATGTTTAAATCAAGCAGAGATAGCACATTAGTAATAACACTGGATAGTGAGATACGGTTTCATAAACGCATAAAAAAAGTCAGATTTCAACAAGTTACGTCTCCAAATAAATGTGCGCTAAAGTAAATATCAGTATCTTTATTTTAATCTATGTACACGTGTTTGTCCCATTTTTTTTTCATGTATTTTTATTTCACTCCAAGTTCCTGATCTTTATCAAAGTCGTCATGCTCAGTGTTTAAATGTGGATAAATGAATCGCCATAGCAACCAGTGGTTCAGTAGTTTAGGTTTCTGGTTCTTTCATTACTACATGCTTACCTTTAAAACCACATTCTTTATTTTAGTTATTATATTTTCTCCACTTAACACTAGCTGTCTCTGCTGAAGCCAGAGAAGTGCCATGATGCTGCCACCACCGTGTTTCACCTTTACTATGCCATGTTCAGCTGAATATGCAGCATTATTTCTCACACTGCGGCCTTCTCCATGGATTGTGGCAAAAAAAAAAAAAATAAAAATAAAAATAACTTCTTGCTTCTTACCCAGGAAGACCAGTTCAATAGAGTTCACCTAAAATAGTTGTCCTGAAAACAGATTTTCCAATCTCTTCATAGTTTTAATCATTCTGGCTGCTTTCCTGAACAATGTTTTGATTGTTGTGCCAGAAAGTTTTCTGTTTTCAAAAGATATGTCATATTATTACTGAGATGAAATTACACACAGGAGTCGTCTTTTTAAAAATGTTACGTCTTCTGGAGGCAATTATTGCACTAATTTTATTTAACAGTCCCAGAATGAATAGAAACTGACACCACACTTGTGAATATTTGCAAAAAAGAAGTTAGATAAGATGAAAATGAGTGATAAATACCTGGTAGGTATTCATATCTTTTGGCTCTGTAGATATTAATTTTAAAACAAAATTGTAAATATAAGCCCTATTTAAGTTTGAGGTTAGTATATAATCAGTAATGAAAAAGAAATGATAAAAGAAGGCAAAATAATGCATCAATAAACTAATGAATTGTTTTGATGCTTTTGGAAAACTATTTTTATTGGTTAAATACTTCCTCACAAAGCTTAAATTTGGTAGATATGAGTATAATCTGATGCACATTTGTTAGGACATGCTGAAAAATATTTAAAATAATAAAAAAAGAAGGTCAAACTAAACTCAAAATGCACAGAAAATACCTCTTCCTGTTTAAAGAAAACCAGTGGAGCTCACTTCCCTTTAACTCAGCTGGATTTCTCCTGCGTTTCTTCCCTCCGTACAGGTGGACAGGTTCCTGCACGCAATGCGTCTGCAGGACGAACAGCTCGTCGACATCTCAAGCCGTTTCCTGGCTGAGATGAAGAAAGGACTTTCAGCCGAAAGTCTGGCCGCTGCAGCTGTGAAGATGCTGCCGACTCATGTCCGCTCCACTCCCGATGGATCAGGTTAAACGTCTCCACATATATAAACTAATTAACTAAACTGTGGATTGCAGAAGCGAGGTGACGGGACTTTACTTTGTCTCGGTTTCTGTTCACGCCTGCAGAGAAAGGACAGTTTGTGGCTCTGGATCTCGGAGGCTCCAAGTTTAAGGTTCTCAGAGTTAAAGTCAGAGAGGATGAGGAGACTAATAAAGGAGGAGTGGAGATGGAGGAGAAAACATACCCAATGCCAAAGGAGCTGTATGAAGGGAGAGCTGTTGAGGTAAAATAAAAATACTAATGTTGGTCGGGTTGCAGACAGAACATGAGCTGAGGTCTTTTCTTCTTTCTCTCTCCTTTGTCTGGTTTCTCATCTGTAGTTATTTGACCATGTCTCAGAGTCTCTGAAGGATTTCCTGCATGAGAAGAACATGAGTCCAGAGAAAAAGCATCCGCTAGCCTTTACGTTCTCCTTCCCATGTGAGCACCCTGGTTTGGATCAGGTAGGATGTCCTCCATCCACAGAAATCTGCTTTGTGACGACCGCATGTTCATCGCTCGTTTACCGTTTCTGCTCTGCAGGGATTGTTGTTAAGCTGGTGTAAAAACTACAAAGTTCGCGGCCTTCAGGGGAAAGATGTGGTCCAGTTCCTCAGGCAGGCCATCGACAGAACCGGGGTACGGCACAAGAATCCAACATTTTTATTACTAATGCCACTGTGCAGAAAACCCCCCAGAGAAAGCTACAAGTTTTATTTCATGCTTTTCCTCATGATATCCTCCATCATGCAGCTTGTAGCTTAATGTTTTTCTCTCCTATGCTCCACAGGATATGGACATAGATGTCTTGGCAATGGTTAATGACACCGTGGCGACCATGATGACCTGTGGGTTCGATGACCAGTTCTGTGAAGTAGGACTCATCATCGGTAAGACGAACATTCACATCGTTTCAGCTGCTACCTTTCAAATGTTTTAAAATATGCCCAGTCTTCTTAGAATTTCAATACAAGTTATATCATCACGTTTTGTTGTGGTCTGATTATTATAGACATAAAAAGTTGAAAAATACATTTATTTCCAAAGGCACATCAAGATTTTAACCTCAGGTCCAAAATATAAAAGCAAAGTGTATCAGTCTGTTTTTATCTGTTTAATTTCATCTATAAATAGACATGTTTATATTAGCAATAAAAAGAGAAAGGAAATAAAAATTATGTAACAATAATTTATAAGTTGTTATCTGGTTACAAAATAAATAAATAAATAAACTATTTAGAAATGGAATTAGATACTTATAGACCCTGAACAGGAGCTGTTCTTTACAAAATAACTCAAACTCAGTCAAATTGGAGGTACAAGCTTTGACCTAACAATGTCCACAGTAAATCCAGGTGTGTATTTGGGGTCACTGTACTGCTGGAAGGTGAACCTCCTCCCCGATGTGAAGTTTTTTATGGTCTTCAAGAGGTTTTTCTCTTGGACTCCAGTGTTTGTAGCTCCTTTCATCTTCCCATCGACTCTCACTAAATAAAACGTCTCTAATTTACGGTAAAATACCGGCAGCTGTGGTTTCCAGAAGGTTACCGTATAAATACGTTTATTACCATATTTATACTATAAAATACATATAAATACAGATTTTAT